AATTGAGTTGAATATTATATATATATATATATATATATTATATATATATAATATATATATATATTAATATTGATTTCTCAATTATAAAGGTTAAATATTCAAGTTAAAATTGAAACATAAATCCAGCATTCCCTTTCGAAGTGTTGATAAGACATTATAAAGAAATATAAATTTTTTTTAAATTAATAAACTTCATAAAATTGAAGTTCTGTAATAACATTGTTGAACATTTCAAAACAATGTTTCTATTTTTTTTTTATGATAAAAATTACACACTAAATATTTTTATATGTTTTGATTTGAACATTTTAATTTTTCCCAAATTAAGATACCTTGTAACAAGTACGTATCAAATATCAATTAATCTCTTAAATGTGCAGGAAATGTACATATGTTATTAAATTATGCATTATATTGTTGATTATTTTAACCATAAAACATTCATGGGTTCTTGTTCACTTCACTGTAGGTCAAAGAAATGCTTTATTTCTTATGTTTAAATTTATTTGTACATATGTGCTCAAGTAGATAAAATTTATGAAAATCAAAATGTTTTAAAATTTCAGTTGATTCTATGATAGTGTGAATTATCAATGCGATATTGAAGAACTAGTAGTTGAGAAACATTATATATATAGAAATAAAAATATATTATATGGACGTATGGTTGAATTTATTGGCCAAAATATTTTTGTAGTGGCTACAAAAACATATTTTATTATTATTATTCGTTTAATTTTTTTTAAAATTAGGTATTGGATTTTAATAACTTATTTAATTTTTATTTCTGTATGGCATATTTTTTAAGTGATATGTAAATAATTATGTTTAGATAAATGATAGATATTTGTATTTTTATTAAAACTATTTTAGTTTTTGCTCAAACTTGATGAGATTAAATTATCAATGGTTTGGTTTAATCTCTCTGTGTATATTTTACAGCAGTGTTGTTTCATGTGTAATTTCAAAGCTGCACAACTGTACCCGATCATTAAAATCCATTTATCACACATTTGTGTGAAAAAGAGAAAACAGTCTGTGAGGGTCACAATCATAAACAGATTCCTCAGCTAAAGAATGATTCATTGGTTTTTGGTTTAACTTCCTATTCCATTATATACTCAGATTAAATTAGAAAATAGTTATGAAAAAATTCTGGGTTCTAGTAGGTCAACAATAGCTGTGATATTTCTTCTCTTTATTGATACCAAAGGTTCTCACTGTTTTATCAGTAAATTTGAAGCTCAGACAAACATTAGGTCTACACATTCCATTCCATTTTTATCAATTGCAAAAGTTCTTTTTGATTGATAACCCTCACAGCCTTTTTTCAGTAATTGCATATAAGTAGTGAAGCTAGGATATGTATTTGTAAATATAACAAAACTATGTGCTTTGATTATTTGTTATAACCAAAAAATTTTGTAGTGATTTTTACAAGCCATTAACGTATTTTTTTATGTGAATGCACTATGTAGTGTATTCCCATTTACACGTAATGCATTTTTGTCCCATTTGTGGTATATCATATATGATGTGAAAATTATGATTGCCATATAAAAAACTAAAAACTAAAATAAGTAGATGATGTCATATAAATGTTTTAAATTAATAAATGTGCTAATTAGCCCAAATAAATATAATGAAATATTAAAATGTAACACAAGATATATTTCATAAATATAATAAAAATTCATGTTGTATTATTGTGATAATGTTATATATTCTTATATATTCAATATTATTGTTATAATATAAATATTGATAGTCATTGTTGATAAGAATATATGTAAGTGTTAGTAAAAAATATTGTCTTAACTTCATTGAATCTGAATAGAACTGTTGAAAGAGAAACTTCATTTAACATATTGAATTAGTCCGATAACAAATAAAATTGGTAAAATTTTAAGACATTAATAATTATATGGGTATGAGATACTAAATAGAGACATGTAAATAGGATATCAATATCTAATGGATCATCATTTAGGTAAGCAAAATAAGTAACAGCATAATTTTTCTTCAAGCCAAAAAATACTTTAATTTTTGCTATACTTTTTGATAAACTTATTACTAAAAATAAAATTATTTAATGAATTATTCACACTATGAAGGCAGGGCAATTATTTTTATCATCCATAGACAGTCATGTTTTAGTGGGCAGAGTTGTTCAAAGTAATTGAAATAAATTATTTTTTTCTAAAATTAAATAAATTTTAGGAATTTTTAAATATAAATAAAATATAATTTTGTAAAAGATTTTTTTTTCTTTTAAATTCATGGCAATACCAATCACCAAGTCACCTGCTGCCTATTTTTTAACATAATATTTAAAATCTGTACTCAACCACATTCCTTTAAATCATAGATTAGTCACTTGATAAATAGAGAATTCAATTTTTGTTGAGATTTTTTCAAGTGGAAAAACTAAATGTCATCCAATACCAAGGGATTCATTTATCAGCATTTCTTTAAAACAAAAATAAAAAAAAATTAATAAAATACTTTAAATGCAAATTTGTTATTTTAAGAATATATTACCCTTGTAAAAGTGCATTAAAATCAGGGTAATCTATATTTTTTCAATGGTCTCAGTTTAATAATGGAATCATTATGGAACATGTTCACTTAATATTTAAAAGTAAAATGGCTCATGGCCCAACTGCTATATTCACAAATTTCATAACTGTATATAAATTAAGTTTGGTTTGTAATGCACCAGTGTCTATCCCAAAATATCAAAATTTAGTCTCCTACTCTTGAGCCAAAACAGTAACATTTTTACAGTATTCTACCAGCTTGCTTAGTAAATCATAGATAATGGTAATTTAACAACAATTTTTAAATATTTTCTTAAGAACCAAAAAGAATTTTATGACTTTGGAAACAGGGAATCTTCTTTAGAATATGTTGTTTCTGTTGTTATTCTCTTTGAATTGGATAACCGGGAACCAGGGTTAGACTACTTATCTCAAAGATGAGTAGTTTGAATTATTATACTTTTTGCCAATAAACAGATGTCATGTGACTTAATTGCGGTATTAAGATACTAGTACGATATAAATCAGCGAAGAATTAAGTTTTAAATAATATATCATATTTCATAGAAAAATATAGACAATTTACAAAATGCTTTATTATGAAATCTGTTAATCATTTTTAAAATATTTGATTTTTATGGTCGATGGTCTACACAATGGTCTAGTGGTTATGTTATTTATAATAACAAACTATAAAACTACGTGTTCGGTTTCTGGAGTCCCTGATGATTTTTCCCACATGAACATAGATTTAGAGTTTTTTAAATGAAAATTTACAAAAACAAAACAACGATATGACGTGCGGCTGACCATATACTAAGAGGGCAGAATTAGTTTACTCCTTGTCTTTTTCAAGGGATTCTGAACTATGGAATTATTTTAATAATTAGTAGTACAATCAATTTATCTCTTTATTTATCAGTTTCCTATAATATGCTGATTTAAATATGAAAATTTAAATTACTAGTAACACTTTAATATTTTTTCATATTAATCAGGTCACTCAACAATTCTGCAATGATGAAATATGTTTTTTGTGTTTTAAAATTTTCCTGTTATTAGACCTAATTCTAATGGGTTATTTAAAAAAAAATACATGTAGGTAAAAATAATATCATAAAAACATTTTGGGCCGATTTAGCCACAAAATATTATGAAATATTACAGGAAAGTGTGTTTCATATTATTATCTAATAGTATTAGATTCCTTTCAACAGTTCGTTTGTCCATTTATCAGAATACGTATGTCAATAAATAAAATGAATGGTTTATTTTAGTTTGTTTAAACTGAAATAAAATTATGTAAGTTCATTAAAAATCAAGATAAATGTTTAGTGTTTACAATACCTTAAAATATATTCATCATTAATTTTAATCAACATTAATCTATGAATTAAAATAGGTGTTTGCCATTTAACTTGTACATAAATGTCACAATGATGATAAGCAGTGTAAATAATTAATTATTAATGTGAAAATGATAAATAAATAAATAATAAGTCTTTTAGACTAAAGTTACATTTGATTTTTTATTTATTAGTGGACCTTTAACTAAAGAAATATTTTCAAAACGGATTATAATTAATTCTTTACTCGTCCTTAATATTTAGAAATCTTATGGGAGAAACAATCCTAAACTTGGCGCTGATTTCATAGGTGACATCAAAAATCCTTCGGACCATTCCTAAACTCATCGGTAGAAGTATCAACGGGATTCAGCACGTTCCTTTATTCTTCGATTGAATCATTGATGGCTCAGCGGTTCCATCGGCTTTTGTGACTGATGGTTTAGCTGTATGTAGCCAGTGAGCTGGATGTTCAGTGTTGTTCTATTACAATTTACTTCATTAATTTATATTCAGTTTATGTTCTATCTACGTTTATTTATTTTTTGGAAATCGATAATTCAGTAGATATTTCTTCCTCTTTTATGTGTTTTGTAACCTTGCATGTGTGTTAAATTTCTTCTGGAATCCAGTGGTTTGTCCTGACCTCATCATAAATCGCCATTGGTCCATTGCTGAATCCTATACAATAGATTGATGGAATTAGCTTTAAAATGAGGAACTTGTCCATCTCAATTATAAGTTAACTAAAATAAAAACTTCCCTCTGAATTGATAAAACCAAACCCACTTATGTTAATGGATTTTTGTCTGAAGAAGGTGAATCCAGAATAGCGAAATTCTCTAGGAGAAAGCAATACCAAAGGAAATGACGCAAAATGATGCTCTCAACAAATTTCACGAGAGTAGAAATGTTTAGGATAATAAGGATCGAAAAGCTCCATTCGACGTAAAGAGCCGTGAAATAAATTTACTTTCTACGTTGTAAGCATAGAAAGCAGATCCGGAGGATAATCTGCGAATAGTCTCAGGCGACACGGACGACAACTGGAGCAGAGAGTACTCGCTCACCGCCAGGCACATATAGCAGGAGGGGGCCGGCTGCGCAGCCAGTCATGTTGTGCCTCCTAGCTGTGCTGTTACTATACTCCAAGGCGGTCCTCAACGCTTCTGCTCTGCCGCACGGTAGGGAGCACAGGGTACTCAGGATCAAGGGGGAGAATGGAACCCTAGAAAGGACCATTTACTTACCCAAGGTCTTCCAGGACGATGACGATAGGTTCGTCCTCATATCGGACTCTTCGCAGAACAAGTACAAAGTTATGGAGGCGAAAAGGAAGATAAAGAGGAGGCGGAAGAAGAAGCCCCTGAACCACCATATCGACAACAACATCACGGACTACAAAGACCCTAAATGTGAGTTTTGTCCCTACTTCTTTCACGTCTTAGCGTCAACAAACTCGTAATTCTAAAACTTATTTTGTAAAGTATTATTTATCGTTATAAATAATTACTGTCATTGTTGATAATATAATTCACGCCTATCTTGATGGTTTTGCGATTGAGGGACAGCTAATTCGGTGAAAGGATACAAATTCTGAAAGCAAGTCATTTTATAAATCTTTACCTGATAGCTGGATCTCATTTCATTACCAATAATCTACAATAAATATAATTTAAACAAAATAATAAGTATAGATTTTTAAAGATTTGGACTATTTTCGATATAACAATCATTTTAAAGACTTTTTTTTCAGTGAAAAGACGTCAGCCAAGAATAACGCATGTATTATTTTTTTTAGCTCATCTCTCATTTATTGGTACAATGGTTTTTCTTATCTCTCACGAGGACCTTAAGTCTGTTCATTTTAAGTTTTTGAGGTTCTTTGATTTGTGTAACGTCCTAAACTTGAAATGTTGAATAGTTTTGCAAAAATTTGTTGATGATGCGTTAGGATTCATTATTTTTTCTGATTCCGTAAAATTCACGTTTTCCATTTTGTGGTTTTCAGATTCTTCATACATTTCTTTATTCGACTATAACGGTTTCTATACTTTACATGATTACTGATTTGAATGTAGTGTAAATATTTTGTTCATTATAAATATTTTTGATGTTATTTGTTCTAAAGTTTTATTAATAGGTAATTTTAAAAGTAATAATTATGAAAAGGAAATAACATTATACTTTATAACATACACATAAATGATATACAATAAAATGCTACGATAGCAATATACATCATAGCGTTATTGAATCATATATTATTATTTTTATAAAAATGAATAAAAATATATGTTTTGGTGAATAAGAAGCAAAACTTAAAAATTATGTGACCTTATTTTGAAACCATCCATTTCAGAAAGACGAACTATAATGCGAATTATATCCCTCTATGAATAATTAAGAAGGTTATAAAGAATTATTATTTTTTTTTCTTGCTTCTACAGTGCAAGGTCATTGGCTACATCTCAATTTGTATTATATTATACCGTTTCACCACGTTTAGGAATACAAATGTTTTTTAAGAGCTCTTTAGTGGTATTTTAAATTTTCTGGTATATTTGGTGGCATATCCAAATTTTCTTTGAAATTTTTACTGTAGGACAATCTTGTAAGATTTGTTTTACTGTCCATTGAATAATGAAGCTCTTACAGGTCGGAGGATCAAGTCCTCTTAGTAGGTAGGTGTGTGAGAACTCACAATTTCCAATTCTTAGTCTACAAAGGGCTGTCTCTTATAATTCATATTAGTAGTTCGAGTGTTTTTACTGCATAGAACAGTATTAAACTAATATTGCTAATTCAATGAAAAGGCGTTGTCCTCCAGTATGTAATTCTTTATATTCTTCTTGTTATCGGTTTCGGTCTTTCATAAAATCTTCATCAGGCTAATTTGTGATGGTCCTACTCTCCTGCTTGTCACATGAGGACTGTCAGCAGGAGAGGATGACCATCATAAACTAGCCTGATGAGACGGGAATCGATGGAAAGGTAAGAATAAAAAATATATACAGCGGGACAACGTCTTTTTATTGAATTTGATTTCACACCTGTAACATCGAGCCTCAATTAAAAGATATTGGTAATGGTTATCGCGTGACAGAACCGATACTGCCAAAAATTAAACCTATCGTACAGCGAAGTAATGATTTCTTTAATATAAATAAATGGTAATTTAATTTTTTTTTTTTTGTTCTTCCCTACCTCGCCTTTTAGGCTATACGGGATTTTCCCGGGCCAGGGTGTGAGGGCGGGGAATTTAATATCCCCTCCAGCACCGGGACGCGAACTCGTACGTTTTAAATCTTCTCAAATCTGTGCCAATCGGTTGCCAGGCAACTCGCGGTGCTGTGCACACGCTTTAGCCCATTCGGCCATTCCGCCCCCTAAATGGTAATTTAATTAATGATCGAGCAAAAATGTTGGTTCTTGCTACTAACTTGAATTATAATTGATAACTTTTATTTTCTTTTTTTCTTTTGTCGTACTTCCCTATCTCGTCTTTTAGACTATACGGGATTTTTCCGGACCGGAGGGTGAAGGCGGGGGATTTAAAATGCCCTCCGGCACCGGGACGCGAACTCGTACTTTTTTAATCTCATTAAACTTCGGCTATCTGGTTGGCGTGCAACACGCGTTAGCCTTAGCCCATTCGGTCACCCCGCCCCGAATTCAAAATTATAAAATTATAATTCATTACCATAGAAGTAGATTACGTAGAGGCGAAGGGGACGATCGCCTTTCACCCTCAATAAAATGTTGAGGAGGCGAGAATATCATTTCTCTCCCCTCTCTTCCCCTCCTTCCCCAATAATTTGAAAAAAAAAAAATTAAAACCAATAAAAATGGAGTACATGAATGAATAAAATGCGTAAACTAAAATCTATTAAGAAAAGTCAACTAGCAATTTAGGCCTGAGCCAAGTAGTATGTATGTAACTATTTATTATAATGTTACTTTTATTTAAATTGTCATTTATATTAAAAAATAATAATATATGTCTACATATCCTAGGATTTTATGATTCAACCATCCTTCGATTTTCACGTAATATTCTTACCACATATTCCATGTCAAACTATTCCAACTGTGAAAAACGTAATATTTTTATTTGAGGTTGTACACACTTACAAATCAAATATATTGTTTTCACTTTTTTACATTATTTATTTTTAGCTGGGAAAGTTCTGGAAACATACCAATGTTATAAAGCCTGTCTTCCGTATATATTTTTTTATTTTCCTGGTTTACGTAATAGGTCAAACATAAAAAATAAATTAATAAAAATCCTTAGAACTATACAAAGATATAAACAAATTAATTTAAAATATTCACTATTATATTTTTCGCACCATAATAATTATATTGAAGTTTTACACATAATAAAAATTTCCGCCATGGTTTTTGTTCCATTGCTCCCCCATCAAAATATCATTCTCCCCAATCAAAATCGAAAGTCTGTGCTTATATTGATAACTATTAAAAAACAAATTTTCTTGTATTAGAAACTTTTAAAACGTGTAATAATACCAAAAAACTTTCAAAAAATGGATCATACTAAAAAAAAATACTTATTATTAACATGATGTATGAAAAAATGGAAAACTACTAAATTAATATTTGTTTTTAGTTTAAGTAAATATCATAAAACCCAGAATAAGTCATAATCATTTTTTTTTGTTAAAGTTCAATATTTTTATTTTATTATATTTATTTTGATTATTTTTGATTAATCAAATTATATTATTTAATACCTTTTTGTCAAGTTACAACTTCTTTCATCAACTATATGTTTTAATAAAAAAAAAACCCATTTATATTGGCAATTAAAGATTGTTTGTATGAGCTTAACATATTTGATGTAACTCGTAAAAGAACTTTTTATTTAAAACATGGTTACATTTTATTACCATAATTTCTTTTAAATGCTGTTTTAAATATGTATAATATTTATTTATACTTCTCTATATTTTTTTTTTAATATTTACTTCTTTAATAATATGGAGCTTTTTAGAATTGAGGTTATTTTGGCATCAAAAAAGGCTCCTAATATAATTTTTTTCTGAATAAACAAATCAGCCTCTATCTATCTTTTTATTGCCACTTCAGGAAATAAGACACAGTTTATTACTCGCTAGTGCAATGCCATTCTTTCAGATTTTGGAAATATTTTAGACATTTTGATATATATCATATTATCACCGGTGAAAATGTCACAGAATTTCTTCGGAAAATTTATTTAAGCCATACGCTCACTATACATGTTGTGTTACGTTGAGGATAAATCAATATAAGAGCGTTTTCAGTTTCAGGTACCGGAGCTTCACCGGTACCAACTCCGAGTATAACTTGATTTTCGAACGCTTATTGTAAAAAAAATTACTGCATTTACAGTATCTACACATAGGTATGATGGTATTATTTTCCATACTTATTGTGTTTCGAGAAATACCAATGTCGCTATGATTCGGTTTGATTACTTAAGTTTTGAAAAAAATTATTTGGTCTTCCCTTCCTTGTATTTAGTCTTGCTGCACGGGTTTTGCTCAGATGTTGTATCACAAAACTATGTGTATGCAATTCCTGCTATTAAACATACAGTAGTTAAACACAAACAACATTCTCGTCTCATTCGGATCATCGGGTATATTCCTTATGTTTTTATACATACGTTCTTAGTTCAAGGTTTCAATATAACTTATTATTTTTTCAAACTGTGTTTACTTCTCAGCACTTGCTTATCCCTGTATAATCTAAATTTATTAAATCTCTCCCTATCTTTAAATAGATTACTGCATAAACCGATTCCCTCTGATCTGAATTTAATTTTTCGGAGTCAACCAGTCACACGGTTACCTTACAATGAATGATAAACCGATGGTTTCTGACTTTTCAGTCCTCAACCTCTTTACTATCGTCAAATTCGACAACGAAGACTGCGGTGAAGGAGGAGTCTGTTATCACGAGTACGAATGTAACGAACTGGGAGGGATACCGCAAGGACCTTGCGCCAGGGGCTTTGGAGTCTGCTGTATGCGTAAGTATTCATGACAAAGATGTTCTGTTTTATTACGTTCTTTTGATTACATTTTCTAATGTTTGAGAAATATATTTCTAATTTGCCTGTTAACCCTGTAATGATGGATGGATGAAGTGGAAGCTCAATGCGGGGAAACTGTCAAAAAGGCGGTGAGTCTCTTCGTAGGGCAGAGCTCACAAGGCGCTTGCACTCTTGGAATCCAGAAGATGGAATGCGCAAGGCAAATTCGATTGGATTTCTTCTCTTTAGACGTATGCACATAATTTCATTAATTTATAAAAGTATAATTAGTCTAATTGAAAACCACACAATTCCTGGATGCATAATGATATCCTGATTGCAGTTGGAGGGGCCCGTAGATGGAACTTGCATGGTTGACCGACTTCTAATTTCTGGTCAAAACTCCAATGACATAGTACCGATTCTTTGTGGAAGTAATTCGGGTCAACACAGTGAGTAGTATTTTAAATGATATTATAATATTTTTTCTTATTTAATCATATAAAATACAATATCATTCTAGCTTAAAAGGCATAATTAAGGAGGAATATTCAACCAAAACAACAGGCGGATCTACGTGGGAGGGGAGCTTTCGGGCAGAAGCCCTCCTCCCCCAAATGGTAAAATATAACCATGCCTTATGAAAAAAGTATTATTGTTCCTGTAATTACATTTAACACGACTTCAAGAATCACGTAAATGCCATTTCATATAGGTAGTTAGTTTCTTTCTTTTTATTTCAAAGCAATTATATATATATATATATATATATATATATATATATATATATATATATATATATAATATATATATATATATATATATATATATATATATATATCGGCTGAAGCCCACCTCCAAAGTTAGATCCTGGGTCCGCAAGTGACGTATAGCTTTGGTTGTTCACGACTCAACCTAACAAGATATTTACTATGAAATTTGAAAATGTGAATTTAAATGAACAAAAATTTCTGTTAAGGAAAAATATTTATGGATATATTATTTATTGAAAATTTTTAATAAATGACATAGAATAATAATGACAATAATATGAACAACAAGGTGTGGAACCTAATATCTTATCATATTAAATTATTAACTTTAAATTATTTCCATTAATTCTCCCTGCAACACTTAAGGAGACCAGGCCTGATGAAGGCCTGAACTTCAGGTCGAAACGTCGGCATATGTAAAAATAAATATAATCATTTATTTTTGCCTTCCTTTTTGACTGACCACCCCAACTATTCTTCTCTTCATTATCCACGACAGTCAACCAATTACCAATTTTAAATTATTTCAGTTCTATAAATTGAAAACAAATATTTAATAACATTTCATTACACGAAAGAAGTAAAATAAGTACTTTGATGAATTTCCTCACTCTAAAATCAGAATTTTGTTCACTTATTGTATGAATTTTGGATATATAAAGTTTGTCTAATGTTTATACACACACTTATTATTGTATTTTTGTATCGATAAATAAAGTCAAAATTTACAAAAACATAATTAAAGTTTAGCTCTTTCAATCGACGGCACTATATTAAAAAAATCCACAGAGATAATAGGTACCAGTATAATATGAAAATCACAGATTAAATTAATTATTCTGATATTAAATGAATTACTTTAATATTTAAGCACAGATTAATTTAATTACAAGTTCATCATTATTATGGCGCTGAAAGCAGTTTAGAAAAAAAAATTTCATTATCTTTCAACAATAAATTTGTTTTAATAAATAAAATAAAGATATAAAATCTAAAATGATCATAAAAAAATGGCAATTAAGAATAAATTACAGCTTACTGTAAGTAGAGCATGTCAAAGAATCTTATTCAGTATTGTCTGTGTATTTGAAGTAATCTTTGACTAATCACAGAAAGAAAAAAGAAAATTAAGAAGAAATAAAGTTAATAATAAATAAAATAAAATAAAAAATGGACAGCATTATGGGTAGTATGGATTCCAATTACCTGCAGATAATAATGAATGTTATTTTCTTCATTCGATATGTTGTTGGCATTTATTCTTGATCTTTTTAAAATAAATAAATTTTTAAAAAATCAGAAATTTATTGCATTTATCCTATAAATTAATAATATTTTTTTCTTAATAATTTATCAACTATTTTTATCGTTTACACGCACGAATTTTATGACAATTTAAAAAAAAAATGCCTCATCCGAATTATTTTTACTAATATTAGGTGTCTTGTAAAGCTCATCCAACAGAAAAGTTTGATACGGAAACAATTATTTTCAGAAGTAAACGGCTACTTAGATTGCTAACTAATTTAAAAGTCTAATAATGACAATGTTACCAGAAACAAAAGGGAAAATTACAGAACGACAAAAAATTACGCAGTTTTCTGCGCACATTTTTTTACGCAAGTCTTCCTCTGCACATTATAACTAATCACAGGGTTTGCCTAACCGTGGACACTCCCTAATAGCACAGAGCCTCTTCCTTGTTATGAAACTTTTTATTTCCCATTCTTTTTAATCGAAGAATGTCAATTTAGAAAATTTCCTGCTTTATTTACATTTTCATGATGGGCATTTTAATGTAAATTTGATGGTGATTCGTAAAAATAAAAAAAAATAAAAAATCGTGCGATTTGCCTATCATCATTTTAAAATATGAAACTAGTAAAAAAAAAAAAAAAAAATCATTTTCTCTGCATTATCAACGATGTTTCTTTGAACGAACCTTTCTTAATATTTTAAGAGTTCTAGACGCAAGAAGCGTCACTGTACTCAGTTTTCAAGCGAATCAAAATTGTTGCTAAAAAACCATAAAAGGAAAAACACAAAAAATATAATCTAGGGTGAAATAATATGAATTTACGTTAACATAACTGATCTCTTGTTGTTTTTGATAAAGTTTCTTTTATAACTTAACATTATGAATAAAATGAACCAACACAATAATAAACATTAGGAAAACTATCTCTTAAAATAATTTTCTGTTAAAAATTTCAGTGAACTTGGATATCGACGAGGCGGAGGGCCCTATAATGCTTTCCGTAATTTCACCTTCAAAGAGAAACTTCAAGATGAAGGTGACCCAGCTCTGCGACGGTGACCCCCTCTTGGCTCCGAAGGGCTGCTTGCAGTACTACACCGAGCCCTACGGCGAGATCAAGTCCTTCAACTATCAGGACCAGTCTTCAGAATCCTCTTACTTGGTCAGTATGAAAAGTAGAAAGTATACAATCAAAATCTATGCAAGTATTATTATCAACTATTAAAATATATACACGTATAAATGATATATATATACTTTAGTATAGTCTAAAATATAGGTGCCGACTCTTAAGAAATATTGAGGAGTGAGGGGGAATAGTAATGGCGTTCTCAGACATTTGCCACCTCCGGGCAATGACATCATTTTCTACATAAATTAAATTTATTTATTTATCTGTTTAATAATAATAATAAAAGGCTTAGCGAACCCGAAGGTTCGATGCCGACACCAAAAATCGCTTATTACACACCTCCCTCACCGTTCGCCGTCCAGTCCCTTCAAATCGGCTTTAATGCAATCTTCTCTCCGGCTTACCCCTCGGACGTTTACCATTCGGTATAGCAAATATTAATCTTTTAGGATATCTCTCGTTACTAAATCCAACAATTTCACAAGCCCGTTTGATTCGCCACGATGAAATCACCTCAATTATATAACACGGATACAGTTCACGCAATTCGGCGTTGTGTACAAGTTGAGTCTGAACTCCCCGCTTAACTCATATTTCTTCGGTCCGAATAACCTAGGCAATACTTTATTTTCAAAAACCTTCAGCCGTTGCTTATCCCTTAATGTAAGCGACCACGTTTCGCATCCATAAAGAAATGTAGATAAGATAACGGTTTTATAGATTCTAATTTTTAAGTTCCGGGACAAGAGGCGCGAGCTAAGTAGTTTCGTCACAGAAAAATAACAAAGATTTCCCGCCTTCAGTCTAACCTTAATCACTTCTTCAATTTCGTTTTATCTGTTATCGTGGACCCTACATACCTAAACTTCTCTGCCTGTTCAAACTTATTTCAACTATATCGATATCACCAGCAATATCGTCATTTTTGCAGCTAACCATATATTTTGTCTTATTCGTGTTTATTTCAAGCACTAATTCTTTACCGGCTTTCATTAACGTTGTCGTATTTAGTTTTATAGTTTCCACGTCTTCGCTTAACAGTACCAGATCATCCGCATAGCCCAGCACGGGTGTTGTCCCACCCATATCCAACCCTTTTTCGGTGCGCATTATCTCCCTAGATAAGATAAGATAAGTGTAACAGGATAACAGTGTCCGATGTAATGAAGGGGGCAGAGGAGATGGAACGGCATACATTAATCATTTTATTATCTGTAATATAATTATTACGTATACAGTTTATTGAACTTTTTGTGAATTATTTTAACTACATGACTGCGAAATATTGGAGGGGCTGGCCCCTCTTCGAAAAACGAGGAAGCAGAAAGTTTCTTGCCCCCATCCATCTCCATAGTGCCGACGTATATGATGTATAAATCATATCATTATTGATGAACTGCTTCTTAGAAATGCGTATTTGTTATATTGTGAGTTATTAAATGGTTTTATAAGTGAATTACTAAGAAAAATCGAAAGATGTGATGTAAATAACGCTAATGAAACCAAATTGTCTTTCAAGCATTAATTTACCTACTTATTGTTAGAGTAATTATGTTCCGATACGTAAGTTTAAAAAAATGTTGCAAGTTCAAGTTATGCCTTAGGAATACGCATAAAATTGGTTATTTCTTCTGGAATGAGTTGTAAACATGAAAAAAGCTGGGGACGCAATCCTTTTTAGTTGCGCCACTGAAGCTGAATGCTACGCCATTGATAAACCACCGTATAGTAAGCGCAAACAGAGATTTCTTCTCTCTTTCAATGGTATTTAAATTCCTGAAAATCTTTATAAATCCCAAATTAAGAGGATAAAATTCTTTGATAATATTCCAATTATCATACTCGTCTCTCTTCTCATCAAACCAATTCTGATGTATGGCTGAAAATCAGAGTTGTTTGAGGTAAACCAACCAGAGCTATCTGGAATCCAACTATTAATGCATGGGTGAGAAGGAACACTAAAGAACTGTTTACAGAAACTGTTCAATCGATATATCATTATATGAATTCAATAAGGTTAAGATGGGCGGGACATTCACATCCATTAATTTATACTCGTATTACGATTAAAGCCACATAAGTATATAAAAGACCCGTGGGAAACTAAAAAGTATATAGATAAATAGAACCAATAAAGTTGTTCAAGATCTGCATTCAGCGAACTGTAAAGAAGTAGCCTAAAATAGGCAGAGGTGAAGAAGATTGGTTCAGTGGAACCAAATATCTACACACACTCATGTATGTAGAGTATTTGGCTTATGAAAAATATTTAAAGTGCACATGTTCGGAAATATAAAAACAAAAACTTATCTAAAACATTACATATTTGTCGTAATCATGCAGTAAAAATATAAACCATAGGTGTATAGCAGCTCTTTTTCCGATTCTCAAGAATGATTGAATTCAATGAACAAAGTGTCAGACAAAAGAGAATCTCTTGAAGAAGTGACGAATACCAAGCACAAAATCTGAACTGTTACTAGTACAAAAATCAAAGTCATTGAAAAATAGAGAAGTTTAAAAATTTATAAGTCGAAAGATCGGGACGGTTTAAGTAGAATTTTAACGATTTCGACGACATCGAGACCTATTTTCTACGTTTCAAAGCCTTAAAATGTATCGTTTTCGAAATAAACATTAATCCTTTATGGTTGCCATAGGATACTTATCAGATGTTTAGGTTTTGAAATTTTAAATATTCCTATTTATGATCTAAAAATATATCGAAAAGATAAACAGAGTAGATTACATACGTATATGGTCCCTAGAGGACTTCGGATAGTATAGAAAGAATATTTGTGAAAATTTTCATTTAAAAAAAAATTATATACTTTTCATAAATAGATATTCATAAAAGATATTTTTTATAAATGATAAGAAATATCCAGATATGGCTTCTATTTATCGTTACCGGTAGTGCAAAAGGTTGCATGTAACAATTTTACATTTTTATTCTCTTTTCGCTGCTATAAGTAGTCTTTGGAATAGGAAAATAACAGTGGGAAATAAAATATGAAATTATACCAATAAATCATGAAGAAATAATCGGTTTTTAATAATAATGCTCTTCTGTAAAAATATAAATTTTTACATATCATCTTTTGCACTGGCAGTAACTATATATTTTTAGTTATGTAGAGAATTACCAACTAAAGGTATTTTGCACCAAACAAATAGGTCTTAAGCTATCACAAGACCTATCACTATCGCTGGATTAGTATACAGGGAATGTTGTATCTTATAGCTAACTATTAAACTGGAGAGATATTTTTCTGTAAGATAAGTTAATTACATATTAAGTAAGTTGCTATTTTAACATTCTAGGAAAAGTATGAGCTTCACTTATTGCGTGTGGAATAAACTATCTTGATAATATTATGTTGTGTTTACGATTAAATATTTTTCGCTGATGTCACTTATATGTTGAATGCATTAGGATAACTATATAATTTGAGAGAGCTTGCTGGACTATTATTATATTATATGATTATTATATTGATTGTATTATTACTGTATTGATTATATTATTATATATTGATCTGAATAGCTAATTAAAATAAATAGAAAAATACGAATTGAACTTCGTGATTTTAAAATAAGGTTCTCCTTCAATTAATGTATTTTCCATGTGAACATAGGAAATATTTAATCGTATTCAGTTGATACTCTAGTTACTTTGACAAATCAACTTCGTGAAATTTATTAAAAAATCTGTATTATTTTTCTTTTTGTTTAGAACAACTTGAACTACGCAATGTGTATAAAGAAGAATCCAGGAATGTGTTCGGTGGAATACAGTAACACCAGAGCTACAGGGGAGGAGTATACATTCGATATCAACAATGTCGATCTAGGTAATGGTTTTATTCCTCACATGACATGCGAAGTTTATAATTTGTTCGATGTAACTTGAGTCATGTATTGTTCTGGGTAAGGCATTGTTCGTTAACCTGACAAAAATTCAAAACCAATCTTTACAAATGTTTTGAAAGTTATAAAATAAGAAATTATTATTCTTGAATAAGAAGAGGAGAAATGAATTTGTAAAAAGTACTCATCTTGCGGCAAATCATTAATAAAATAAACGTTCTTTTTGAAAGTCGTATCATGGTCGGCTAACAAGTTTGACTCATATTGTATCGAATCGATTATAATTACTTCAAATAACAATAAATAAAAATGTCTAAATATAGGTCAATATGAATATAATTGTCTTATTATTTCAAGAAAGCTGGCAAGTTAAGAAAATATCAAGAAAACTAGAAGAAACAATAAACTCCAACACATTTGTTGATGCGTTACAACGCAGTCGCAAATTTAATGGAAAATTAATAAATAAATGAATAAATAAATAAGAAATCTATACATTCTTTTGAAGTAAATTAGTAGTTTTTATTGATAAAAAAATTAATAAAACTGTGTTAAAATCAGTATCAGAAACTAAATTTTCTCCTTGATCATCAGTCAGATTTATTAAAAAAGAATGTTAGCACCAGATTGAAAAATAAAATAGATATTTACATAAAATCACTATTTTTAGATTTATCTATCATACGACCTCCAATTCGAAAGATTATTTAATCATGAAATTTAATGGTTTTATTTTGTTCCTTCAATAAAATTAGCTATTCGATTATAGCTATAAGCCATTATAGTTGTCATAAAATTTTTCTGACAAAAGATAGATACGTTATATCATGAGGAATGACATTAAGGATATTATTTTATATTAATTTATTAACCCTCAGTCAACAATATCAAATTCTAGGACACTGTTAATAATAGGGTCGTATCCTATATCTCTAGTAATGGTAAATTAAATTTGAATTCTTCGGAAACAAATGATAAAATAATGATTCTTATGTAAAATAATAAAAAAAATAAACCCTAAAAAATGCCGAACCATGATTTAAAACCTAAATATTATGTTTATGGACTTAAATAAAAAGATTAAAAAACTCAAAACATTATATATATTGGGTTGGCAAATAAGTCCTTTCAGTTTTTCAGGGTGAAATAAAACTCAACGTATTAGACATAAAATTTACAATATATTGATCATTATTTAATAAGACTTTTCCACATCTTTCCACTAACTGAATAATGCCATGTTCATAGAATGTCTGGGGTTTATTATTAAAAAACTGATCCAAGTGGTTTTTGATGTCGACTTTCTTTTGGAATTTCTTTCCATTCATGGAGTTCTGCAGAGACCGGAATAAATGGTAGTCACTCAAAGCTAAGTCTGTTGAATAGAAATGGTGGGGCAAAAGGTCTCATCCAAGGCTCAATAATTTATCGCGAGTGACCAATGAGGTCGGGGGGGGGGGGGGGCCTAGCGTTGTGTTGGTGGAACACAACACCCTTCCAATCATCCATTCTTCAGGATGTTCTCCAAATTCGATGTTACTATATCTGTTGGAAGCCTGAATTATTGCTCAACGCGGTATGAATGTTTTTTTTTATTTGATGCCTGCATAAGGAATAAATAAACAAAATCTCTTTATAGGTTATTATTTTTATCACCATTTGCAGTTTGTTTACGATGGTCCTGTTGATGTCATTTTGTGTTGTTTATGTGGCCCTAAATCTGCTAAATTTCTGGTAGATAGCTAAGTCGTATTGAAGTTATAACACTTTTTGTTATTTAAAAAAAAAATCATGTGAGGAAACCAAACTTTAAGGCTGGAAACATAGCTGAGCTTGAGCAAATGTTTTTCTACGCTTGTGTGCTACAGATTTAGGGCCACAGCAATCTTTTGCAATGGTTGGATGGAATTTTGATCAACAATGGTCATAGCATTGCTCGTTACAATTTCATGTGGGCGACCAGACCGTTGAACATCATTGATTTCAAAATTTTCTGAATGAAATTTGGCAAACCGATTTTGACAGGTGCGGTCGGTCAAGGCATCATCCCCATAAACACTGCAAATTTTTCTATGAGCATCTGCAGCACGCTTACGTTTTTTTATACAACAAAATATGCCGATAATGAATGATATTTTCTTCCATGTTCACAGTGCATTAGCAAACACAATACTATGCTAGTTTCAAAAATAATCAATAGATATAGTAAACAGGATAAAAAAATCCACCTTAGGGATTAATTTATCAGATAAGAAGCGTATCCTAGTGACATAAAAATAAACAGAAAAAAACGAAAGAATAAAAGGGGTAATCCGACTGACGATGTTAAAAACAAGGCGGGTCAGATGTGACCCTAGCCCAGACAATGTAAGCTTTCAGTGATGAAAAGAGATAAAATACACTGATAATGAAACTCCTACTTGGCCAACTACCATAAGATAACTGAGAGTAAGTTTAACCGAGGTCTCATCAATGTTTATGGAACTTTGCATATTCAAGGATTGTTTCATTCATACTCATGGATCGGGTAGGACCTGGCTTGTCGACTGTGGGTTATTAAATCATACTCAAGCTTTAGAACTCAGTAAAAGCCTATTACTGTAAGAAAAGAAATTTTCTTTTACCAAACTTTAAAGTTAAAATAATAAATGACATACTAAAATAATAAAACTTAATCTATTATTGTCTATCACTTCTTTATTATCTCTTACCTTTACCGGTACTACACAAATAGATGGAGAACTGACAGTGCCGGAAGGAGAAGCTGGAGTTGAAGTGTTTAATTGCCCGGAAGACTACCTCGCCATCGCTGGCCTCAGGCTCTGTGGTCAGAAGTTCAATGACGCAACTACCAACGCCGACTTTACTCAGAATGCACCAGTAATCGGTAATTAATGAGTGGTACAGTAGTAAATATAATCTAGAAAAAACTTAGTTATTACGATATATGAAGCCCCTAGAAGCAAAAGAGGTGCAAGTGACAAAAACTAAGATTGATTTAATTATTATTTCCGTTAAGCCTCTTTTCTTTTCTATTTCATTATTTTTCATATTTATGAGCCTTTTAGTATTATTTAAGGCACTCTTAAAATTGACCATTTTTTTACCTAAGAAATTTTTTAAATGCTATAGAATACATTTCTTATATATCTCATTGAAACAAACTAATATAGTGATTACACTGATCTAAAAAAAAATTGTTTGCGTGTATCTTCGATGAAAACAATAATTTTTTAGGGCTTTAAAAATGCTTTATTATTTGTAAAATACTTTTACAACCCAAAAAATATTAAATTACAATTTCTCTCGGCAAGAACAGCACTGTAGTACAGTTTATTTATAACGAGTCTTCTTTGGTTGGTTCTTTGGTTGATTGTACTGATATTCTGGCAAATCTCTCACAATGGTTCAACAATATTCTGGGAGCATTAAACTATCCCACCGACCTTCGTTCCATCGAGGACATATCTTAGTGAAGTCTCTCACCATCTTCGTCACTTACAAGCATTGCCACCACTTTCAGGTACCCACAGATTTAAGAAGGGTTACCATGTTTTGGTAAGATTCCTCCACGTGGCCAATACAGATAGTATCTATCCCTACCAACCCAGGGGAAGGAAATGTTACCATATTACGCAAAAAGTAACTATGTCTTTGAAACAAGAGCTAACTGATGATTTTATAATAAATATTCATTATATTTATAACTGAAATAAATGAGTGATAATATATCTACAGTTTATATAAATACATATATATATAACGGAAACTTCTCGATAAAGGATAAAAAATTAATCAACTGTCCGGTATCCAGAAGTTTCACTTTATTATAATATAATACATGTAACATATCTAATTTATATCTATCAAAACATATTTTATCATTAACATTGTTAAAAAAATATTTTAATTTTTGTTACATTAAAAACATTTCTAGACAAAAGCAACGGACCTTTCATGATGTCTTTCGTATCCAGTTCTACCAACATAGGGAGAGGATTTCATTTGCAATACCAACAGAAACCCTGTTTATGAGTCTTTGATTGTAAATAATTATTTATTTGTATTTATTAATAAAGCATTTAAGTTGTATACAAGACTATGTTTAGACCCTTATAATCATTCTTACATCACACACACACTAACAAAAACACAAGCAGAAATCCAAAATAATAAATAAATTGTAAAGTGTGAATACGAAATTTGATTGAAACCCTCGGACAACGCAGATTGGTTTATAAAACCAAAAAATTAAAATGGAAAGAACCCAATATATTCCTGAATTAAAACATAAGTTTTGATTATCTACAGCTGGAGTCTCCAAATTATGGTCTGCAATCACTTCAGGTCTGGCCTGCGAAAGTTTTTTCTGATGACATGGTAAATTTTCAGAAACTATTAAAAATATATGAATTTTAGGAAATTACTCATTCAAAAGGCTATGCAAACATGCTAGCATTTTTTTTTTTTCTTTTTGAATGCTCATTTCACAACTGAAGTGTCACTTAGAACAATTACAAGAATCTTTTTTCATCACAAGCCATGGCCCGCGGGACTTAGGTAGAGGTTGTAATGCGGCCCGTGGGACTTATAATAAACGTTATTTATTTATTATATTCTAGCAAATATGATTTCAACTGATTAGTTTCTGTGATTTTGCTTGATAATGGCTTTGATTTATTGAGTTATTGGTAGACTATTAAGAGACATGGCTGATGCAGCAGATCTCTGATCCATTTTCTTTTTAATCCGCTTCAAGCAGGTATAGCGGAGACTAATTCTATAGAATAAGCGAATTGAGATGCTTTTGGATTAAGAGTGAAATGAACTGTATTTATCGTAGATGTAAGATTTTACTGTTGAAATGTTTACCTCGTTGTGTTTAGTTCGATTCGAAAAATAATATGTTTGTGATGTATTAAAAAGTCTGTGGTGGATTTACTAAGCGAAAATGCCTCTTATAAGAGCTCTGTGTATCGGAGACTCCAAACCTGAGCACAATACAGCAGAGGTGTATTAATGATAACTTTTTTCAACTTTTATCTCGCCTTCCAGGAGTTCGTTTTGGCTTTTGAAATTTCGGTTTATAACAGTACCTATTGTTTGACTTTGAAATTGCTGTCTTGAGTGCTTGTAAAAACATACCGACCTACAAAAATGGACACTTTAATAATTTTTTGGCCTAACGATATCAATCAGTTCTCCTTCTACATTTATACTATTATGTTTCTTCAGGCACCCCCTTGCGAAATTCAAAATTTTCGTATTGCTGATGTCTATTGTCCATACAATACTCAATTAGGGCATTGTCTGGGGGGGGGGGGCAACTTTTTTTACAATGTCTGTATGAATCGGTAAAAACGGCGATATCATCTTCGTGAGATAATATATGTAAACGTTTTTTCATGAAACGAAGATATTAAATTCATAAAAAAAAAAATGTTGAAGAAAAAAATTACGAGAGAAAAATGAAAGAAAATTAAAAATGAGTACTAATGAAATAAGATTATGATGATGCACTAGACAGCATTCGGTACGCGATATGATCATCTATTGATTTTAATTTATAATTTTTATCAATGAGATATTGCACGAAAACTATGTAATTGTCCGTTTAACCTCTAAATAATAAGCTCGTCGATATTTTATCCATGCCAGCCCTTCTAGGTTAGCAATTCATATTCTGTCCTAACTTCAAAACTATACTTAGCTGAAAGGTATATTGATACATTGGAGATGTAAATTACGAAAACTACAGTTATTACAGGAATCGGAAGATACGGTTGGATCGATATTGTCGGAATGATGTTTATGGTCAGTATATAGGCAACCTCCTTCGTAGAATGAAGCAGCCATCAGTGAGTGAGGTAATATCGTGATTTATAATCTGATTGTTTGTGCTCGGAATACATGATTTTCACATGTTAGATCAAGACTTTAGTAAGCTGTGTAAAATGTCATGAAGATTTGAGTTTGTTTGGTACTTAAATTATTGTTAAAAAAAAAATAATAATAGTAATATACAAGTTAACCATTGTAAAAAATTAAATTAAATCAAAAGATTTTTTTTATTACATAGTGAATTTATTTAACAGCTTGTGTTGTTTAAATCAATATTTCCTCATTTTAAGGATGTTAAGGATAATAAATGAATGTTTTCAAAACTTAATTGTGTATCAGATCATAAATATCTTATTACAAAAACAAAAAAAAATTGACATTTTAAAACCTGTGTTCATTAGGTATCCAATATATTTTTTATTTTATTTTTTTTTATCTTATTTTTATTATAGGGTGTTATTTTGTTATAGTTAATTTTTCATTATCGTTATTATTTATAACCGTTTCCAAATTAAAGCAGAACAGATGAAAATAAACTGGATTATTATTAGACTACAAAGTAAATTTCGAAGATGCTCTTCAAACAATTTTTTGTTTACAAATTGATATTAAAACCAGTTATTTCGATTGGTATTGATATTTCGATTCAGGTAACAAATCAGTAGTAAAAATTTAACAGTTCTTCGAATTCAAAATTAAAGAATATTAATATTAATAAATTAATCAGAATATTGAAGAATAAAATGAAATGACAGACCTTGAACAAGCGACTGAAAATACTGTACTCACTTTTTTCCAAATCAAAATTGAAAATCAGACAAAAACTCAATACATACATTTACCTACTCAAACCCATATGGACATACGCCTCACAAATTTACGGTTCTGCAAAAAAGACCACAGACATTTAAATCAAAAATTTTACGAATAATAACAGGATCTCATTGTACACAAACAACAAAACTTTAAATAACGACTTACGACAACCAACTATCGACCAACAAATACGCGATCTCTACTCCAGATTTCGTCTTAAACTACACGGACTTATTAACGATATGGCCACAGCTGACATGACTATCAGGAGACGGCTAAAGAGTAGCTGGATGAGAGTTCTCTTTTCTTGAATTAAGGAAATAAATCAAGATCAGGAAGAAATGCTGCTGGGTAATATATTTTTCCTCATGCCTAAAATGTCAATTTTTTCGTATTAGTTACAGCACATCTGTTTATTGTCAAGCTCATGACACGTGTGGATGGAAATATGAAGGAAAAAAAAAATTAAAGAAACTTGTTATTTTGCATTACATTTTAATTAAATGTAACGACAACAGTTAAAAGTAAATAATAATGAAAACATAAAAATAGCAATTGACCTGTTTACCTTAAAGAATATTTCTGCACGCTTTTTCTTTGTTCTGAATGTATTATCCTTGTAAATTAAATTTACACGATATTGATATTTCCTTTATCCTACACTTGATTGACCCTGAAATTGAACTGATGAAGTTCAGAGCCATAAGAATGAACCGAATGTAAAATTATTGGACTCATGTGTCACTATGTTGCACGATATCAACAAATTTATTAAGGGTCATGACGTGATGGCATATCAAGTAACCATAGGTTAATCGAGAGCTTGATACTTATCAGGATGATTAACTCGTGTAAACGCAACGACCTTTACGACATAAAATTAAATTATCCTAATATAGACCAAATTATATTTAAACTTCACTTTCACACGTCATGGTTTTTATTTGATATTGCCGTGACAGCTGAAATATATAGCAATTGTGGCAATAATTTAAAATAATCGTTCAACTATTTCTCCTTTACAATCAATCTTCCGAATATATTTAAGAATAATGTTTCGTGATATTACCAATCAGCTATTTTACATGCTGACTTTATTTATCTTTAATTCATTATTTTTTATACTTGCTTTTAAAATATTTTTAAATTTTATTATTCTATAATTTTAACTATAGCATTGTTAATAAATGTTTCATACCAGACTAATGAATCTGTAATTATTTGTACACCTATATTATCCTTAAGGGACTCACTGAATGATAATAAAATACACTTTTTTTCTTTCAGATAATTTTTAATCATTAACTATTATTTTAAATGATAATATTTTAAAGTGTGAGACTTTGAAATAATATGTTTGACATTTTAATTTAGTTCTGGCTCTTATATATCCGTTGATTTTTTCCAATTTCATTCAAAATGTCGTTCATTTATTTTTTTTCAAATTAATTATTGAATCATAATAAAAACTATAAAAAAAAGAATGATATATTATGAATGAATGAAAAACTATATAATATTTTTTTTTATTATTTATGAATTGACTACTCTATAAAAATAAATTTGCATTCAGTAAAGTTGACACCGAGAAATATACTGATATGACAAGGCTTGTAGAGAATCTACTCATTGGTAGCATTCTAATAAAGTGTCTAAATTTGAAGATCACGAGACCATCTTCTTTTTAGACGCCTTGAGGGGTTATCAGGAATCGAGGAGGAAGCAAGGTCAGAAACGAGAGGATTAGGATGGTTCTGAAGTTTATTATAGAATGACAGGTGTCTGAATTGGGTCAAATCGGAATATGGAGCATCTTGTGGTTTCTTGTCGAAATACAGTCCTATGTATTGGATTTGTTTAACATTGATAAATTGGGTATTGTTAAAGGATACTACAGGACAGAAATCTTAGATTTACAACAATAAAAAAAATAATATCCTTATTAAGCCAAAATTTTTTTTTAACCCAAATATAAATATCTGGTGTGTCCAGTCACACGACTTTCCTATCTATTTCAGAAAAGTTTTTATATCCTTACATACGTTCATGAAGAAACGAAAAAGAATTGAACTAGATTTATTTTCCTGGCAATTGATCAAAGAAAGTATTTGAGTACGATTTATTCGATAAACTAAACCAATGTAAACCGGGTTAAGGTATATCAGCGTAAAAATTTCAATACTCACTAATATTGCTGGTCAAAAACTTTTTGCAATAGCTTAGTATTGTCAAACAATAATTTTTGTCAAAATTAGAGGAAATTGTGAAGATTGTGACAGACCAATAGCTAAAAATGTGTTTTTTGGACTCAGAGGGATGTGAAATGTATAGGTCCGTCGAAAACCGCATATCGGAAATTTGACCCGATTGCAATACTTTCCTTATCTAGTGTAGGTCGGAAAGTAAAAATTGTGTAATAACTCAATCAAAAATATATTTTCCATACAGATTTTTTATGAAATTATTATTGAACCTTAGTCCATGCTTCAGAATTAAAAACATGATATTTGTTCAAAACTAGGAAATACCTTATTCCTCATTTCTAATCTTCGCCGTGTGAAACCTGAATATTGACAAAAGTAACCAATCTTTGGAATGGTATTTGTAGCTATTGATATATATGTATATATCGCATGCCAGTATGACTATTCTTTATTTCATTTGCAATTGTTTTTAACCAGATACCCTTATTTTTTAATGAGATGTTATTAAGTGATTTTGAACCGATTCAAAATTTATATTACTCAAATAAATTACTGGTGCGTTACATAAAAATCTCTCATCATTAACTGAAAATAAACCCAATATCATCAATAATACCCTTTCCAAATATCACTTATTGTGTATTTCATGATAATATGCATTCACAATTCATTGGTGAAGACTCATCTCTAATTAATAATAAACTTTTGAACTAGGTAGCATAGTTTGTTTCTTTATTTATATATACGATTAACCACACGCCAGCTTTTAAGTTATTCAGCTCTTTCATATTTAATCGTTCTTGGACTGAGGTTAGAAGGAAAAAGGTTTATAGCTTTGTTTACAGATACGAAACGATTGTTTTCCATCATCATTTGATAAATTGATAACAGTTGACGATGTAAATTTCCCATAAAACCGGTCCCTTTTTATCAAATTATTAATATCCGTCTAAAACTTCTTGTATGACCTCACTCATCGTAACCAACGACTTTTTTATCAACGAAAATTCTCAGAAATGAGGTGTTTTCTAATTAAAATAGTTAATTTTATGATGTATTGAATACTCAAGAAGTATTAAATACGCATTATCTTTCCACTTTAATCATTAGATGATTTAATCACAAAATCGAAAAAAAGGTGACCTAAGAAAAACAATGGACCGTCTTAACATGTTTGTGGTGTAACTCACCACAAACTGACCAATATTTTAGTAAGCCATCTTCCTCTTGATTTTGTTATAAAATTATCTTACTATTCAAGTGAAAAGCAGATGGATGTTTATGAATTTTTAGTACTTTATTTTTTTTTTTACTAATCATATTTTATTGAGAAAAAAATATATTTGGCCTCAATTAAGGGCATTGAGCATTTAGGATGTATGAAACACAAACATACCACATATACAATAAAAAAAAAACAAGATTTTAACAAAAGAAAAGAAAACTTAGAATAACATAATAAATCAAACATAAGACAGCTTTAAATACAAAAAATTAAAAACACATTCATACTTATTCACAATATTTACAGTCAGCCGAGGGAGCTCAGAGTCGGGCCCTTTCTCCCACGTGTGGAGAATAACGCAAGACTCCAAGAGATCCCAGCGGTTCACTCTCAGCCGCATCACTAGGATAGGAATTCAGTGGAGACTAAAAGAGGCCATTAAAGCCACATACGCTCAAGACTTGTGTGGAGAAGCTGGCCATTGCCAGGACTCCAGTGACGTATTTACAAAAGATCTCAAGGCCACTGCCGCTTTAACCTTCGAGGAGGATTGTAGGGATGACTGGAACTGGATAAGGATTGTGCTAAGGGATTAGGATAATGGATTAAGCTCTGATGAAAATCGATATGAAATAACGTCAAGGACATAAGGAATGTTAAGGTCATGATGTAAGGTTTTGTTCATAACATAATAAGGAGAATTGACTTTTATACGGAAGATTTTAGACTGGAAGGATTGGATGCGTTTGATGTTCGAAAATTAAGTTGTCCCCCCATAGTTCAAGTCCGTAAGTCCAGATAGTGCTTTATTATGTCAACTAAATTGACTGATCCCTAGATTAAAAACGTCACACTTCCGAGAACTTTCGTAAATGAAAAAGCTATCGGTTACGATCAGATGAAGCCATTCACGAAGTTTTATAAGAGTTAACAATTTCATAAAAAGGGGTCTTCTATACAGGTGTACTAATTTTAATTTTTTTTCAGGCTTGGGTAACAAAATCTGTATTTAGCATCAGGCCATATATTAAAGTACCGAAGAATAAGTATTTTGAGGGAATTAAGCCATTAATAATCCTTCAAAGGACCTTAGGAAGGTTTCCGTATTCTTTTAATAAACATGGTAAGTTAAAATATGTATTTTAAGATTCTACTTTACTTGAATGTGTGACATATAAATTGTAAATGTAGCTAAACAGTTTAGTCAATGAATGTACGAAAAGAGGGTATAGAACCAAATGGCGGTTACAATTTTTGACTTTGGGACAGTGTATGGACTAGTAAGGAGTTCTCACTCCTAAATCGTCAGCCGAATGTGGAGGGGGAGGGAGAGGAGAGGTGCCTAGAAAGTCACTTTTTTCGGGTTTTCTCATATATCAGAAAAACTATCCATCACATCAGCAAAGACGTACTGTACAAAATTAAAGCTGATAAAATTTGAAATATGATTGATTATATACCGCTTAGTTTCCAAGATATACGTCCTCAACCACCCGATAATTCGCAGAAATCTGTACATAGATATATACTTCTCTCTCTCTCTCCACTCTCTCATATATATATATATATATATATATATATATATATATATATATAATATATAGAGAGATGAGAGAGAGAGAGATAGAGAGAGAGAGAGAGAGAGAGAGAGATGGGGTGGCTTGGATAGCCGTACGGGCTAAGGCGCTTGCAATAGGTAATCAAAGTTGAACAACGTCAAGCGTGGTTAGCACTTGGAAGGGTGACCACCCAATTTAGGGGTGTCCGTCAACCAGGGAAAACCATGCTGCTTGAGTCTCTCTCTCCCTCTCCCCCCCCCCCTATGTGACACCTGTCAGTCTACTGGAGGAAACTCAAACCTACGGGACTGAAGGATTGAAGGATTGAAGGGAGCGGGGTGGCCGAATGGGCTAAAGCGTGTACACTGCACCGCGAGTTGCCTGGCAACCGGATAAGAGATTTGAGAAGATTAAAAAAGTATGAGTTCGCATCCCGGAGTCAGAAGGGATTTTAAATTCCCCGCCCTCACCCTCTGGTCCAGGAAAACCCCGTAAAGTCAGAAGAAAAAAGAAAAAAAGGCGTTGGATTGATGACCCTACCCCGTGTACTTAATCCGGAATCGAGATGTGGTCTACCAGGATGTCAGTAAACCCCCTGAGCTTCGGTCCATGGACAGTCTGTTTCAGGTAGAGAAATATAGGTCCTCGTGTGCCTGCTGACTCCAAGCATCCATAATCCATGGATCTGGACCGCTTTTGTCAATGTTCTTGAACCCGAGTGAATCGGTAGGAAGGATACTGCCCGATTGGCCCCGAAGGGATTGGCTATGGAACTACGCTTTGCCTACCGCTGCACCATGGAGATCATGGTTCGTACCAACGTGAGGTTGGGTGACCCCCTCCAGGCTATCTAAGCTCTGGAAGCAACATCCGTCTGTAAGGAGACCACATCACGCGGCCAAAGATCTTCATGGTCTGTAGTGCCATCCGAAAAAAAAAAAAAAAATATATATATATATATATATATCATTTTTATTATATTACATTATTACATTATAAAAATTATTTTTTGTATTCTTATATTTGTATTCTCATTCTAAAGATCCTTGGCCCGGAATAAACAAAAGATATTATATTATTATGTATTCCATCCAAAGTACTATCGACTTATTTAATATTTTCTTTTTCAGGATTCAATCCATTCAAGCTTCTTTCTTTTACAACACTTTACACAGTTGTGTTCTTTAGTGTTCAGTCTGCTTGGACGATATATACAATGTTTGTTATCGCAAAGCTAAAGATCTACAATGCGCCCAGTTATGACGAGGTCCTGTATTGGATCTCCATTGGCCTTCTTCTGCTATTGAACTTTACTACCCCGATTACGAAATGGATAGATGCCCGTAGGCATGTTCAGTTCGTCAACAGCTGGCAAGATTTTCAGGTTGGTACTTCCGATTATTTTTATATAACCATCATTAAGAGAATTCAAGTGATAATCAAATATTTGTAATTGAAACTCTTACGGCCTTATATCGAATCGTTGGCCATAGAATATCTGAATAATTTAATGACATTCCAATATTTTTTGTTCTATAGTTGGTCAATATATTTCTTGTTTGTTGATAGGTGAATTACATGAAATGCGAACTGCAGATGACCTTGGCACAGCCAATAAAGATAATAGCAATCCTCATCTTACCTGCCGCGTTGGTCTTCATGATCTTGGAGACCTACCTTCTCAACAACCTCCCCTTCCTCGTCATTCTCCCTTTCGTCTCAGCTATTTCTGCGGCATCAACCACACTTATTCACTGGTGTGTGACACTCTACGAATTGCGTGTGGTTTCCAGGCATTTGCTCAGCAAAATTATAATGGTAAATATTTGGACAAAGTAAAATAAGTAACAATCAAATAATCTAAACGGTATAAAATATTATAAATGTGTACATTCAACTTTCTATTTATATATTATAAATGTAAGTATATATATATATATATATATATATATATATATATATATATATATATATATATATATATAATATATATATATATATATATAACTTAAGATATGAATTATAGTCAGATAATAGATCATGTTTTTTTTTTTTTTTTTTTTTTTTTTTTTTTTTTTTTTTTTTTTTTTTTTTTTTTTTTATGTGGGTCGGATCATGAATTAGTAATCGCTAAACTTCGACAAAAACTTAATATAAAAAAGAGAAAAGAAAACCGTTTCGATTTTGAGAATTTTAATTTGGAAAAATTAAAAAATCCATCAATTAGAACCCAATTCGAGCTAGATGTTAAGAATAGGTTTGAAGCTTTAGAGCTTCCTGAAGAGGACCACGAGGATATTGACAAGTTATGGGTAGAGATTAGGGATAATATTAAAGCGGTCGGTAACTCGTGTCTAGGAAAAAAGGAAAATAAGAATAACAAACCGTGGTTTGATGAAGATTGCTTAAACATGTGCGTACCGTGTAAAAATTAGAATCTATAAAACAATTATCTTGCCTACAGTTCTTTATGGATGCGAAACTTGGCCGCTTACATTAAGGGATGAGCAGCGTCTTAAGGTTTTTGAAAATAAAGTATTCCGTAGAATATTCGAACCGAAGAAGGATGAGTTAACCGGAGAATTCCGACGGTTACACAACGCCGAATTGCGTGAACTGTATCCGGGTAATATAATTGAGGTAATTTCATAGCGGCGAATCAAATGGGCTTGTAAAGTTGTTGGACTTGGTAACGAGAGAATTCCTAAAAGGTTAATATTTGCTGTGCCGAATGGTAAGCGTCCGAGGGGCAGACCGAAGCGAAGGTGGGCAGATTGCATTAAAGCCGATCTGAAGGGACTGGGTCTGGACGGCGAACGGTGGAGGGAGGTGTGTAATAATTGGTGGTGTCGGCATCGAACCTTCGGGTTCGCTAACCTCTTTATTATTATTATTATTATTATTATTATTATTATTATTATTATTATTATTATTATTTATATCTTCTTTTTCTACTGTCTGTATCATATATTCGACATCAGACAGAAGATGTGGTATTCTACCCAAGATATTTTTTATTGTTTTCTTCATAATTAAATTTAGATCCTAAGGCTAAAATATTCTGTATGTTTTGTGGTATGTTTTTTTCTGTAATGTTTAGGAATGCAGTGGTTGGTACCTCTGGCAGTGGATCAGCTACAGTTCTTCTATTTTTATTTTTTCACAAACTTTTTTATTAATTTGAACTTCTTTTCACTGCGCTGTTTTTTGTAGAGCATCTCTTGGTCATAAGTCATTTTATAATACATGTCTCGATCCATTTTGGCAGATAGTTCTACCAGAATGTTATCTATTTTGTATCCAATACATGCTATGGTTGAACAAATTTCTTTTATTTCCAAATTCAAAATTGAGCTTTGTGTTCTGAATATGATATTCTTTAATGGTTTTAGGAACTTCGAACTTTTAGGAATAAGTTGATCAATATTCTTAGTGCTATCTACGATGTGTGGTCGAAACAGATTATATTTTCTACATTTTAGAAGAAATACCCTATGTGGTTCCAAATGTGAAAGCTTTTTAAGCAGTTTTTATATTTTTGGCAAGATCACTTCCGTATCTCTGTTTGACATCTTGAAAGATGCCCATATCTTTATATCAATAAAAACAAGAACAACAAAATTGTAACCAATAACAAGTCAGCAGTAATTCCAATGAATACAATTAATTTCCTAATTATATAATATTACAATATTTTTATTTTTTTTATTTTTTTTATAATTCGACCTTTATATATTGTAACTTAAGATATGAATTACAGTCGAATAATAGGTCATGAATTACCTAATAATTACCTAGTAATTTGTATCTTAAGTTATAATATATAAAGGTTCGAATTATAAAAAATAAAAACCATTGTAATATTATATATATATATATATATATATATATATATATATATATATTATATATATATATATAATTAAACATGCTATCTCTAGATAAGCACCCATTAGGTCGGAAATCTATGACTTTGTGTTCTGCACTATTCTTATAAGTTACAACGCCAAAGAGACAAACGACTTACTTGGAATCCTCCTACATGTGTGAAAATATAAGAAACTGGTCGATGTTTCCGGGTGCTGCAACAACAACTAAACAAACGCTCCAAGCTTTCAATTAATTACAAAAGATTCATTTGCATTACCATAATAAGACCTTTAAGGATCTACGGGGTTGAGCTTAAAGAGCTCGACTAAACCATCCGAAACTTCTCCGATCCAATCCTTACAATCCTAAATTCTTCATAAAATCCTTATTGCTCCTTCTTAATTTCTTTCAAAAATAAAATCATTAAAATGTATTAAAAAATCATCAAGTAGGTTTTAAGTGAAAATTGTGTGATGCACATATTTTTAAGTTGAAATCAGAATATTAGCCCATAACTGAATTCACGATTTTTATTTTAAAGAGCTGAATTATGAGAATAAAATTTAAAACATGAAATGAGACTTAACTAAAATATTTTTGACAGAATGGATGCAGGCAAATGTCGAGGTATCGACGGACGTGGCTGGAACTGAGTAAACTCGTTTCGGCAGTTGGCGAGGCCCACGCTTACACTGGAATGATGATGTCGGTGATCTTCTTTATCTCTATAATATTGTCGACGTACACTATCCTGTCCTCCCTTTTCGAGTCAGAAACCGTCTCCAACAACGTCTGGGGTCTAATCATGGGTGCCATCATAGGTTTCCTATGCAACTTCATTTTGTATGACGCTGCATATCGAACGACTCAAGAGGTAAATACCAAGGAGTTTCAAGTATTGCAGTGACTGTGGCATTCATGCCACTACATCTGGTTTTGTATAGCTTCTTACCATCTATTGGTTTAAAACTATGCTAATGATAGACCCACTGCCTTATTAAAGTTTGGACAAGTGGCGAGGATAGCAGATGTGCGTGAGAGTTATCCTTGATATGAATAAGCAAATCAAACAGGTCACTTATGAAACTATTAGGTGTAAATCAGTAAATTAGATATTGAAGTATAAATTACTTGACATTAAATGGTAAATTGCCATGGAGAAAAAATAAGAATATTTATTTACTCCTTTTTAAAGGAAGGAGATGGTCTGGGGCGGCGGTCATAAATAGGCTAAATAGTGGCAAAATTATTTTATTAAAAGCCAACGTTTCGACTCGACTTTGCAGGTCTTCTTCAAGGAGATCTTTTCAGCTAGGAGTTTCACTTAGAACTGAGATCAGACCCTCGGACCATCTCATTCCTTTATAATGCAACGGCCAACTATTAAATATTCAATACTCTTTTTTAAAGTTGTTGTTACAATTTCCCCAGCTTCCAAATACTTCCTTATAAATTTATAGAGTAAAGAATAAAAACAATAAAGACAATTAGTACCAGTGATAGCTCTATAATTGCCTCAGAGTTCCCTCACCCGATTGTAAATAGTGTATATAGGTATGCATGTGTTTTTGCTTTCTTTTAAATTCCTTATTTTATTTTATATAGTTATTTTATTCTATTTATTGTATGCACTTTTTGATTATTATTTATTGTTATTTTGCTTCTATTTATTTTATTTTTTTTGTACATTTTATGGTGTGAATGTTATCCTATCTCACTATAACTAATGTCCAAGTGACTAATGTTGTAATACTCAATAAATAAATAGTTAACGAGGGTACTAATGTGTCAACTGAATAAAAATCATGAAATTGAGACGTATTTCATGGAATAAAAATAAATAGTCGAAGGGAGAAAAATTTTAATCTTACCAACACATATTAGGGCAGTGTCTGAAGGATACAGGTGCAGCTGTGAGATAACTACAATCACATTCCTAAAATCAGCAAAGCAATAATATTCATTCAAAACCTACTCAAGGAAACCTGAGAAGGCAACTCACAAAGTAAGGTATCACTCATGCCCACCTCAGTATCCTCAATCCAGTATTTTCATGTATATTTACAAAGCTTAAACATTTTATTTTATTTAGAGTTTGATATTTAGCTTGTTTTGTTGCTTGAAAGGAAATCTGTTAATTATCACTCAACCTTACATTTCATAGCAGAGTCTCGGTGGTGTCTAGACAATCTTACCCATATTAAATATGATAAATAGTACATTTGTGAATTGATCCCTTCTGGGACTGATAGAATTAAGCATATATATACATATACCTAGCTATTGCAGGTATAAGTACTGTAGAAATATATTAAAAACACTTGTAATAATACAATACCCATAAAAGCCGATTTAGGAGCCTCTTAATCTTCTTAGAAAAGTGGATTGATAGAAACATAGCGACTATATATTTCTATATAGAAATTTATAAAGCTACTACGTATGATTTAACTGTTTTGTTAAAATAATAAACAAATTAAACAAAATTTTGAGAAATGGGTTTTGCTGGTTTGGGAATTCCAAGCTTCAATATTAAGTTCAATATTTGAGAAGAAATTGATCGGGGTGCGGTCAATAGACATAAGATCTACAAAGTAGGTAGAAACTTTGGTAATTAAAATAGACTCTACTATAACATATAATATGTGTCTATTAACCGCACCTCTATCAAGCCTCTGCTCAAATTAAAATTATGGTCATCTCTATATGATTATTAAGTTTAATAGTTTATATTATATAGGTATGATCATATAAAAAAAAGTAATTATATTATTGAAAAAAATAACAACCTATAAGTAAAAATACATTGTTATACCAACTATTAATTTAATTTTCCTACGATTAATATTTTGCATATCAATTGAAAACTGAACAAAGAAGTGTCCATTTAAAAGAAGGGTTTTACCATTTGCAGGTTGGTCCAAACTTCAGCTCCAAGATCCTTAATCTGGATCTAACACATTTGAGTCAAGGCGAAATCAACGAGGTAAAAGAGATATGTAAGAAACCGCGAGTTCCTTAATTAATTAAAAATAATCATTGTTAACTTGAAGAAGTAGTTTCTGAGTTTCTAAAAACAATTGAAACCGTCGGTATGTTAAAAACTAACCCATTTTGTATTTTATGTTTTCAGATTTCGTTATTGATTCAAACAATGTCAGCACATCCACCACTGATCGAGTACCTCGGTTTTGTAACTATTAACAGAAATTTGTTTCTATCGGTAAGTGAGTTATATAGTTTGATGAGGTTAGAATGATAGTTAAAAAAGCCAGTTTCATGTTCTTAGCTCTTCGTTCAGAAATAGTCCGTGGTACAGACCCCTTTTTATCTAATTATAAACATCAGCCTGTAACTTCGTAAATAGTTTCATCTCATCGTAACCTACAACTATTTTATTCACGAAAACTCTTGGAATTGGGACGTTTTCAATTTGGAGGGGAACAAACTTTGTCTATTTAATTAGGTACTAAAAACTCATGAATACGCAGTTTCTTTCTACTTGGATCGTAAGATAATTTGATCAAAAGATCGAGAAAAAGGTGCCCTACAAAAATATTGGGCCGTTTATCCTATATAACCGGGTTATTTTGAAAATTTGGGAGTGTAGGTCACGCCAATCGGCTCAATATTGTTCAAGGCCATCTTCCTCGATTTAAAAAAAAAATGGGCATTGTCGAGATTAGATTTAGTACCTAATTAAGTAGACAAAGTTTAGTTCCCTCCAGATTGGAAACGCCCCAATTCCAAGAGTTTTCGTAAATAAAATAGTTGTAGATTACGATGAGATGAAACTATTTACAAAGTTTCAGGCGGATGTAAATAATTCGATAAAAAGAGTTCTATATCATGGAATATATTATTGACATATTTGTAACGTATTCCAATGATAGTACCTAATTCTCTCTTATTTTTTAAAATATTAACTGTGAGATTAATGAGTATGCTGTGTGATTGAGCCGCCATGCAATATTGTCTATATCATGGATAATATTGTATAATATTATAATCTATATAATATAATATAATATAATCTATATCAATAATAATAATAATAATATAATATAATCTATATCATGGATAATATTGTCAATATTGTCTATGAGGTCTATATCATGGACTATATTATTGACATATTTGTAACGTATTCCAATGGTAGTACCTAATTCTCTCTTATTTTTAAAAATATTAACTGTGAGATTAATGAGTATGCGGTGTGATTGAGCCGCCATGCAATCTTGTTGTAGTTTTTTTCTATCATTAATAAATTATAAATTACTAGATACATTTTCTATACTCTAAGTACTTAATGTAGGATTAAATGTAAATGTTAAGTACGTACGGTTAAGTCAATAAGTACACGAACAAGTGAAAACAAGTTATTACATTATGTTCCTTAAAAACAGATAATTTATATTATGAAAGTAGAGAAATATGTAAAGATGAAGGTAAATAAACATTTCTATTATTCCCGTCCAGAAGATGGGATTAAAATTCCGAAACATTAACATGAATGAAACTGTTGAAAGTGTATTTTTTTCTTATGTTCCTACATAATAACATACTTATGGTAAACTGCATTTATTACTCTCAGGAAACGTGATGATATCAATTTGAACTAGTCATTGAGAACGATTTTCATTCATTAGATTGATTTTGTTTCAGACTATATCCAACGCAGTTACATATCTAGTGGTCCTGGTCCAGTTTAAAGCATCTTCACCAATGGATGCAAATAATGAGGAAGTACAGTAAATGCATTGCGATGGCGAAATATGAGATATAATATCATTCTATTCGATTTTTTATACTATTCCAAAAATAAAACAATATTGAATACTGAACTATATTTTATCCCTTCTAACGAGCAGAATAAATTGGTATGATTGGCATTCCTCACATCAAAAACATTGTTAAATAATATATTTTATATAACCAAAGTACGTAAAATTATCAATTTGTCAGTGGTAGTCCTAATTAGCTCCATCCATCCTACATATGTATTCATTGTCCGGTACTTATAAATATTACCCTAAAGGTATGGTGTCTTAACATTCTACATTCAATCAAAGAAACATGCATTCAAATATTTTTTTTTTATTTGAAAATTACCTGAGTTCTGCTGTATCGCCCACGATAATTTGGAGTATACATGGATGTTCTTAATATCTGATGAATAGAGAACCAAATGCATGATTATTATACCATATTATTATCAACTGAACATCATGTGTATATGATGCCTTTATACTAAGTTTTGTTAAAGCAGAAGAAATCTTTTTCTTTTTTTTCTTTCTATTCACAGGAAACTTACAGAACTTTAGACTTAACTATATTTTTAATTATTTCTCATCGTTGATCAGGAAAATAGTCTTATGTCGATTCTAAAATGTTTTCATGTTCAAGTTCAATGCTTTTTCCTCAATATTATTTAGTCATCGAAAACAACATTTATGGAGAACTGTATTAGGACGATTGCCTACAATTTTCCAGACTGATTGCCGTTTATCGTTACTGCATAGCAAAAATCGATAGGTAAATTATATATTTCATAGTTAACTGCATTTGAAAACAGTGAGTCAACTCAAAACGTTTAGCAAATAAGGAGTTGAGTATATGAAGGCTTTTCATGAATTTCTGTATACACGAACAAGTGAAGTCGATATCAGGAGGTGGGCCTTCAAATATGATAAACTTAGAAATCACAAGGAAAAAAATGTATATTTACCAATACCTTTCAACATAAGCTTAATTAATATTTTTATAATCGATGCATGGGTTGGTAATTAACAAATACAGTTTCATCAACATTTGTTTTTATAATCCTCTGTTGAATCTCTGCCTTTTGTTATACACTCGATCCAGCTTCTCGACCACTTAACATGGATTTTTACTTACATCTATCAGTTACTTACATTTAATCCGTTACTTACATTTAATCTATCTCCCAGCCGAGAATTGTCATCCACTGTAACTGGGTGATGACTAATGTCAAAAATGTTTTGGCATCTCTGTTATTCATCACCATTTCACATTCGTATTAACAATGGAGTCAGATATGTTATTATTTTTCACATTCTTCGAACACCATCTGCCATAAATGGAAATTCTTTCTTGAATAATCTTCATAAACTAGGTGTGTATTTTGGCTTTATACTTGATTTACATAATAGGACAGGAGCTTAGAATTTCACATTTTTGGGAAAAAAATGGAATAATGCCATCAAATTTGGTTTATTCTTTGTTAAACAGTTTTAAATATATTATAAAAGAAATGTCAAAATAAATATTATGTTTTTTTCCAAGCGAAATCGATACTCGTGATGAAGAGTTTAGTAGTGTGAAGCTGATGTCTATGGATAATTTAACATGGTAATTACACACACTACCTACTTAGTCGGATGTCAAGACTGTTTCGGATGTTGACATGCACTAAATATACACGTAGTTTAAGAATACATAAACATCAATTTAGCTTATAATCTACCAGTATGTTCAAGTAAATATGAAAGTTTTTTATTACATTATTTATACAAGTATTGATTGTTTATATTTATCATATATGATCAGGAACATACAAATGAAATTAATATATAAAAACATTGAAAATACTAATAATATAAAGTATTAGGATCAGTTCTTTTAGCTCAAATCGTTTTCTGTGAATCTCAGTCAATAATTTGATCAATCAAACCCAAAAATCTGTCGAGCCATTTGCTCAAAAAATCGTTACATATCTTCAAACAAACAGATTAAAAACAATCAATACCATGATTTGCAAGTGTTTTGAGCTCAAGTTGTTTCAGAACACTCACAAGACTCGAGTGACTAATTTGAGCCATGAATCTTGAAAATCAGTTCTGCAGTTAGCTCCAAAAGTCATTTGATCCTGCAAGCGGTCAACTAGAACTAATTAAGCTTAATGTCATTGTGGCTTCGGTGTACTCAGATAACAGCTTAAACACTTCTCTCTCGTTGGGGCTTCACCGTTGTATAGCAAAATTAAATAAACATTTTCGAATTCCAGTAGATATGAAGGGTACGTCTGGAGAAAAAAAAATCCAAAAAATTGTTTCAATTAGTGGACATGGTGATGGGCGTGGAGGTCATGAACTTACTCCCAGGATAACAGTGCTTGTCATCAAACCCACTCCTTTACAGTCTGTTTATTCCAGTTTACTGGGTCCTTTGTAAGGAAGGCATTTCAGTTCCGGTCTAAATATTAGGCAATGTCAGCAAGGTTGTAAGGAAGCAACGTTGAAGGAAGGACAGTTTTTAATGGTAAGTACTAAATATATATATTATTATATATATCAATTATTTATACTTGATAATTGATACTTTGATTCATTACAAAGCAGTTTTATATATTTTATACATGTTTTTAAACCATCGAATTCCTCGTATCCAATCCTTACAATCCATCATCCTTCCTAAAATTCTCAATGCTCCTTACTTTGTCACAAACAAAATCATCTATAACGACCTTAATGTATCGTATGTTTCATATTTGTCCCAATCGTTCCATAAAAAACTTCAGAACCATTCGAACCCTTTCGTTTCAAACCTTGCTTCCTCCGCAATCCCTGATACCCCCCCGAGGAGTCTGATTTATTATATATTATTAGGTTTATTACATTTAAACATACATACATTTATTAGATATTTCGTAGTTTACTTACATATATTTAATTAGTTATATATCATCTCAAAATTACTCGGAAACTTTTTTTTTCTTTAAATTAATACGAGCCTACTTCATAAATTACTAACTGATTAATTTTTTATTTCTTTTTAGACAGACTTTAAAATATTTTTATTGAGATGAAATATACAATTGAATTTTTGACTGTTATTTTTGTATCAACACCTGTCACAGCCTGCAACAATAAGCGAATGTGATGTAAATAAATTGAAATTTAAAAATGTTTTCAATACTAAAAATTAGAAAATATAAGATTTTTTTCGCATTCCTTTCATTGATTTCTAATGAGATAAAACTATTTTTATCTCAACGGAAGCCGTCAAACCATTGAAAAACATATCGTACATATTATACCTACATATATATCGTTTTTTATGTTTTACGAAATGTCACTGAAATAATGAGAAGATAATTTTCATTTCTCTTTTTATAACGATATAGAGATATGATTTTTATGGACTTAAAAGTTATCACAGATTAATCTACCTTTTGCTTATATGCTCTAATTTTTAAAAACAGTTACTCATATAAGCATGATTTATTGTTATATAATGGAATGAGGTAACAATTATTTAATATTTCTGTGCCCTTGCCGGTATCCGGTCTTTAAAACTTACTTCTTACTTATAATACACCCTCATCGTACATTTAATGATTTTTATTAAATAATTAAAGAGGTTTTCCTCATTTACTTCTGCATTTATTTGTTAATTGTTAATTGAACATTGTTGCCATAATCCAACCTTTTACGTCATCTCTTCATTTAGAGGAAAATAACGAAACCTAGATAACTCTGAGACATTTATTTAAACGGAAAGAATTTTTTTTTTGTAAGTCAATATACAGGTATCTCATAAACTGATTTTTTTTTTTTTAAATTTAATATACATATTTTTTAGGATGGACCAGTCGCCTTGTTATGGCGGACCAAATGTAATCCATTCTGATTTTGATGTCTACATGACTTTGTGGACTTGAAGATGTTTTGCATAACTGGCAATCATCGAGTATTGGTGATAAAAGACCTTTACGCTACAATAAAAAGTATAAGTGTGTAATTATATTAATAGTATTATTTTAAGATTAAATGTTAATGTAATAATATTATTCCAAACGACAATTGTCATTTATGACAATAAATTTTTCATGTCGTATTACTGTACTGAACCAACTTAAACGCAATTTTAAATACACTAAATAAAACAGAAGACTAAATGTTAATCTACATTTGTCATTCGGATTGAGGTTAACTCTCAACACACACATTTACTAAAGATAATTTTCTTGAAAGCGATAGAGAAACCGATGATTCAATTCAATTTCTTGATCAAATACGAAATGTCGATGCGAGAGACATTTCAAGGTGTACCCAGCAGAACTTCTGACACGTACGGAGATGAAGTGGGCAGCTCCCATATTGGTATATTTTTAAATTTAATTTTATCGTAGTAGTTCATCTGAATAGTTGTTATTTTTATAAATTTAAGATTTTATTTTATTTTTTAACTTTTTTATTGTGAAATATTACAATCTGCCCCAGTTAAGGACACTTATAATAGAGTTCAGAGAGTACATACTTTACTCCTACATACTGTATTTACACCGTATATAAATAAATAAAGTAATAACAAAAGAATACATAGAAATAAGAAAAAAATTAAATATTGTAAGGAGAGTGAAAAGGTTTCTTTTAATATATTTAATTGAATATATCTATATTCCCAAGTAAGTAAAAATAAAAGTAAGTATATACACTTTACAGTCAAACAGTAGTGTTAGGAGAAGTGAGCAGGAAAGATTGTGTAGCCTTTGCAATTTAAATGAAATAGACGATGTATACCATTACGTCGCTGCTTGTCCGATTTTACAAGCATATAGAATCAAATATTTTAAGAAAAAATCATAAACCGCAATGAACTTATAGACATACTCAATGGCAAAGATTAGAGCAGTTTAGTATGTATCCTATATTTGTTTGTAAATAGGGGATGTTCTTAATTCAGCAATACAACACATAGTATTATTTAGTTATATGTAAAGAAGTTAACAA